TACAATTTCTCTGTAATACATATTTAGTATAAAAAATAATTTTTTTATTAGTAATTTATTTAGTTAATTAAAATTAACTAAATTTTCTTATTATTTTTTAATATCTAAATTTGCTTTTACAAATTTCACCATCATTATCATCATCTGACACACAGTTACCATTACAACATGTTTTTGTTATATCACGTGAATATTTTTCACATTTTTTACCAACACTTTGGCACTCTATATAAATAATTTTATTATAATAATTATAATTAATAAATAAATATTTTTTAATAAAACTAGATATTAAAAATAAAATTATTAATTTACCCAATTCATCGGTTTTAATATCATATGGCATAATAAACACTATGACAATTACTAACATAAGACTAACTATTTGATATTTGTTAAACATTTTTTTAAAATTTTTAATTATACTAATTATAAGATTATTAAATAATCTAAAAACACAAAAATATTTTATAATTTTAAATATTATATATACTTTTATAAAATATACACACATTATATATACTATTTCAAAAAAATTTTAAAAATTTAATTAATCTATTATTTCATACATTTATAATATTAATTATATATCTGACTTAATAATAATAAATTATTAACAAGGTGAAACTAATCTAAATGTTATTGTACAGATTAATTAATTAAGTAAAATATAAATAAACTATTAATTACTTGAAATAGTAATAAATTATCTAAAAAAATCTTTTACACAAAAAATTATTGCATTTATTAATTTAAGTATATATTAATTAAATAGAAATAAAACAATTATTAGCCAACTCATCAAATAATAAATTATTAGTGTAGTAGTTATTTGTAAATATTTTCAATAAACTAATAAACTTATTATTACTTTATTGTTATTCAAAAAATACATAAAAATTGTTTAAATTTTATTGTTTTCATATGTCAATGAATTTGTATTTAATAATAAATTATATTTAAGTATTATAAAAGTAAAATATATTAGATAATATTATAAATATTAATATTTTAGTTTATTTTTAAATTTATTATACAATTGTAATTAATTTATTCTATACTATATTCTTATTAAATTTATCTGATTTCAATATTTTATATTTAAATACATATACTTATTATATATTTTATTATATATTTTATTATATATTAAGATTATCAATAACAACAAAAATTAACAGTTTATCATTTGATTGAATCTAATCGATATTTCAATAGTATATATAATAAAGTATAATAAATAGTAATAAAGTAAAAAGAAATTTTTCAATTTAAATATTACAAAAATATTTTATAATTTAAAATAGTTTCACATAATTTATATACAGTATATAGATTTGTATAATGCATTTCATGTAAATAATTTTACCTGTATAAAAACTATAATTAATAATTAAAACATTATTATAATAATAATTTATGAATACACATATTAAATTATTGATTATTTATAATCTATAAAAAATATACAAAACTATAGTATTTGAATAAAGTATTTTATTTGTAATTACTATAACTATCAATTAATAATTTATTATATATTTTCCACATTTAATTATTTAATGAGTACATTGGTATTTATATACCTTTTCAAAAAATATTGTTTTTCATGCAATTAATCTATTATTACATACATTTATTATATTTATTATTTATCTGACATTGAACTTAAACTTATTATTATTAAACTTATTATTATTTTATTGTTATTTTAAAAAAAATTACATAAAAATTGTTTAAATGTTATTGTATTTTATAGTAAATTTATGTTAAATTATTATAAAAGTAAGATTTTGTTTCAAAGCAAAAATAATTTATATTTAAATCAAAACAACAAATTATTTAGTAATTATGCTCATTATTTTTTCAGATTTATTTTTTTTTATTTTATTAATATATAGGCTATATAATATAAAACTATAATACTATAAGTATAGCATATATACTATAAGTAATAGTTTACACATTAGAGGGTTTAATATATTTTAGATAATAAAATCAAACCAAAAATAAATAAAACCGTAATTTTATTTTAATAATAATAATTTATTATTTTAGTTTGTTTAGAAATTATAAACTAAACCGAAATATGAAAATACATATCAACTAAACCGAAACTAATAATTTTAATAGTTATTAAATATTTATTTTTTCAATAATTAATCAATTATTTACTAAAAAAATAAAAACGTTTATAAAAATAGTATAATAAAGTGTTTTCTAGTCTACTTTAATCTACTGATAAATTTTTTGTTTTTTTTGTTATATTATTATCAATAAAATAAATTCTAATTAAATATAATATTTTATTTTAAATATATATACACAGTATATAGAATAAATGTTTTATTTAATTTTTTTTATCAATTATGATATTATTATTAACACTAAAAGTATAGATAATATAAAGTATATGAAATACTTTTTATTTATTTCATTGTATTTAAGTGGTGTATATCAATAGTGAGAGAGATAAACATACAATTTATTTAAAAATATAATAACTATATTAACAGTTAAAGTTTTATTTTGTATTGAATTATGAGTTTTTTTAAAAATACTAAATAGTAGTGAAAGCATATAAACTGGAAAATCATTGGCGAAGACAATAGCGACAACTATGGCATCAAATGACTCGTTTGATCGTTTCGGCGATGATTTGGCGGAACTATTGCTTCAATATCTGCCAATCGATGACAGACTAAGACTGGAATCGGTGTCCAAACAGTGGCAGTCATTGATATTTATAAGTGAAACACAACTGATATTTGATGATAAACTAGTGAAACAAATACATGTAATGTTACCGGAAATTACTATTAATATTAGTATCGAGTCTTATGTAAGTAATTTGTTTGAATTAATTATCAATAAGTGTCCAAACATTACAACAATTACTATAAATACTGAATATTTTTCGTACAAATATTTTGATTTAATGATTAAATACTGTCAGCAATTGACAGACATATGTTTTATAGCAAAAAATAATGAATATATGTTTATTATGGACTACGAGATTGGTAATCAATTTGGCCAACAATTACTATCATTCAAGTTTTATAGATATAAACCATATATCTATAGAAAATTGTTGTCAAAACTGATTGATTGTATGCCTCACTTGAAAACATTGGACATCACTGATAGAAACAATAAAAACATTAATATCTCTCAGCTTTACACTGAAGATAAAGATTGTTTGATTTTACCGATAAATTTGCAATCAATAACATTAAGTTTGGACACATATTCGTGGCCATTGTTTGATAGGTTTGTCAATATCTATGGCCTACAATTGACATCATTGGACGTATTGGTCGATAGATATGTCGATATAACCAATGATATCGACTTGATTAGCAGTTTAGCAAAAATGAAAAACTTATTGCAATTGAAACTAGTTTTGTACACTGACTTTGATAAAGATACGCAAATTACCGATGAATTGTTGGTCACGATTGGCCAAAATTGTCGACAACTTAAGTCAATTGATTTGAAAATTGAAAATTATTTATGTAAAATTGATGGCATATTTGACATAATCAATGAACATATGTCACCACAATTGAGACTATTATCGCTAAATCTTGTCAACAATTATAATGAAAAACTAGACGAAAAAAACTACGATTTGGTTTTGACCAGCAATTTGTTAAACCGATTGACAGGATTAACACATCTGACACTTGAATTAAATCAGATAATCAGTGACCAGTTTTTTCGCGATATTCATCGCAATCTTCCGCGACTACAGTCTATACACTGCGGCGACAATGCGTCCATCACTGAGGTGTCGATCCTAGCTATGGGACAGTTGACACATCTCAGGGATGTCTATCTCAGATGCGATCCAAACCAACTGACAACAACTGAATCCTATATTAGACAACATTTACTGAATGATACTAAAGTTAAACATTTGTATATTAGATATTGGCATTCAATAGATTGTATACAAGAGTTTAAATATGGAAAATATGTTAATATTTATAACAATTATTATTATTATATTTATTCTGATTGTGAATCCGATTCTGATTCCGACTCTGATTCGGATTTTTAATATTATTATAATTAATTAGATTGTCATTAAAAAAAATATTTTTTTAATTATTATTATTATCATTATATACTACAGGTATAAATACTAATAAAATATTATAATAAAAGTTCTTATTTTTTTAATATTTATATAATAATTTATCTAGTATATTAAATATAAAATATAATTTTATTATTATTATTATTATTTACTACAGGTATAAATACTATTAAAATATTATAATAATAGGTGTTATTTTTTCAATAAATAAAAACAAATAAAATAAATTTTTTGATTGTTTGCTAAAAATAATTATTGTTTTAATATAAATATTTCTAATTATTAAATCTATTATAATACTAAAAAAATTAAAAAAACCATATATTTATTCAACTAAATTAAACCTAAAAATTTCAATAATATTTATATAATAATTAGTTATCTAATATATTAAATATAAAATTTTATTAATCATTGTTTTCTACACTTAAAGTTTTTTTTCTTATCTCTAAATATTATTATTTCTAATGAAATACAATATATATTTTTTATTTAATGTAATAATTTTTTATTATTATTTTTATCAATTATTAATTATTATTATTATTGAATAATAAAAAATGAAAATAAATATGCAATAACTAATATCTAATCTGTACTTTATATTTCTAGTATTTATTTAATTTATATCAACTCAGTATTTCATTAAAAATTAATTAAAAATGTTTTTTTAAAAAACAACATAATATTTAATTGAAAATCAATTAATAAGTTTTGTTATGTTTAACATAGAATTTTACATCTGATTATATTTTTATGGCTATTAAAGCTATTGTATTATTATAGTACAGCCTATTATTTGATTTACATTAAAAATATTTGTTAATAAAAATTATTTAATTGATTATTAGAAATATTTTTTTTAAAAAAATATAAGACAATTGACGAGACAGTGATGTTTACGAAAGACTCGTTTGATCGTTTCGGCGATGATTTGTGTCAACTATTGCTTCAATATCTGCCAATCGATGACAGACTAAGACTACAATCGGTGTCCAAACAGTGGTTGGCATTGATATTCAATACACAAACAGATCTCGTATTCGATGGCAAACTATTACATACAATGTCTTTGAATTCAAGGCGTGACTATTATCAGACAATAAAGTTGTTTAAACTCATTGTCTCAAAGTGTCCGAACATTACCGCAGTTACCATATGTGATGGGTAAGGGTTTTGATCTTTTTTTTTAATTTTGTTTTTATTGATGAAAATAATTTTTTATTATTAAATATTTTTTCATATATGATATTATAGTTCAACACTTCCCGGTGCTGTCCATATGATAAGTCATTACATGAATTTATTAATCAAATACTGTTACCGATTGCGACACATCTCTATTACACTTGATTACGACGGCCTCTGGTCGGTCATCGACCGTACGTTTGAACGATTTTTCTGGCGATTTGGCCAACAATTACTAACATTCAAGTTTCACGGCACTAATCATGATTTCAATAAACAATTATTTTACGAAGTGGTCGACGGTATGCCTAACCTGAAATCACTGGATATAACTTTTGATAGCTATGAAAGTACTGTACAATTAAATGACATCCTAATCGATAATATGTGTTATTTGTTGCCGGAATCGTTGCAATCATTGAACATAAAACTGGACGAGTCGTCGATGACGTTGTTTGCAAAGTTTGCCTATATTTTTGGCCAACAATTGACATCATTGACGATAATGTTTGAACAATTGACTGCTGATGATGAAGACTATGATGGCAACGATGAATGGCCCAATTGGTACAAATGGGATCTTAACCCGTTATCGGCCGGTTTGGCACAAATGCCGCGATTAAAACAACTAAAGTTTGATTTGCCGACCGATTTTAGCATCAATTTTATTGGCGATTTATTTGCGACAATTGGCCCAAATTGTCGACAACTTAAAGCATTAGATTACGAGTCAAACATATCAAGTGTAGTAACAATTGGCCGTATGTTTAGCGCAATCAACAAACATATGTCAAAACAATTGAAACGATTAACAATCAAATGTATGGATTATACCGATAGAGATACAGATTTATTATTAACTAGCGATCTATTAAACCGATTGAAGGGATTAACACACTTAAGACTTGAATTTTATTATTTTCAAACAATCGGTGACCAGTTTTTCGGTAACATTCACCGCAATCATCCGCGACTACAATCCATATACTGTGACAATGTCTTTATTACTGATGAGTCGATCCAAGCTATGGGACAGTTGACACACTTGACCGATGTCTACCTTTCCTATGAAAACCGACAAATGGCGACAACAAATGATACATACATTTCATATGATTTACTAATCGGTGCTAAAGTTAAACATTTGTATATTAAATACAATGATTTATTTTTAGGCTCTCAAGAATATAAAAGTGGAAAATATTTAAATAATAATAATAATAATAATTACATTAATTATTAAAAAAAATAATTACATTGCCAGTAAATTTAAAATTTAAAATCATTTATTTAATAATTGTTTATAAATTTTTAAATATTGATATATTATAACTAATTTAATAGGAATACAAATATTTTAAACGTAAAAAAATATTATAATTATGATACTAATAGTAACATTAATAATATTTTATTTAATTTATTATTTATTATTTATTATTTATTATTTATGATTAATTATTTATCAGAAAAAACAAATTTATATCATAACTAAAAAAAATTTGTTTTGTTTACTTTAATAATTAATAAGTATTTTTGGAAAATTATTAATATTTTTTTATTATTTAATTGCATATTTAATTATAATATAAATTATATATTTCCTAATTTTTTAAAAATAGCCCATGTAGCTTAATATGTATAATTAAATTTTTTACCACGTTGAAATTAACTTTTACTAATTAATAAATTTTTTCAAAAAAAACTTGAAAAGTTTTGTTTTCTGAAATCTATACGAGCCTTTTGTGTGTGTGTGTGTCTGTAGCATTTCATTTTGCGAATTTTGAAATTCTGACTTCAGATTCGGTTAGAGGACTACTAATAATGTATTGAAAAGTTTAATTAAAATTTTGATATCTCTTCGGGAACATAGACAAAATGGCGGCCAAAGTAAAAAAAATTTTAAGAATTTTTTTTAAGTATAGATTTGAATAAAGCATCAAAAACAAGAATAAAAAATATATATTAAAATTTTGATATCTCTTCGGGAACATAAAGAAAATGGCGGCCAAAGTAAAAAAAATAGGTAAAAATTTTAACGTTTAGAATTGTAAAGAGTATCAAAAATATGATATAATATATCAGTATAATTTTTTTTTAAAATGGCGTCAAAAGTATAAAAAATTTTAAGAATTTTTTTTAAATATAAATTTGAAGAAAGAATCAAAAACAAGGATAAAAAATATGCATTAAATTTTGATATCTACGGGAACAAAAATAATAAGTACAAGCGGCAAATGTATAATTATAGATTATTATTTTGTTATACTAAATCATTTGATACCCCACATGACTATAGTTGTTTATTTTGTCATACTGAATCATTTGATACCATACATTACAATATTTATATTATGTATATTTGACCAGTTTTTAAATTTTTATGTTATTATATAGCCGCTATAATTATAAAACTAATAGTTTTCAATGTTATTCAAGTTTTTTTTCTGAAAATGCTTTCTAGCATTCTTAACTGGTTTTATTACTCATTTGCATAAATATTAATTTTAAAATAAATACTCAATGCTTTGTAAAACTGTTAACTTTTCACGAACTCCTGAAAGGAGTACGTATCTGAATTCTATAAGTCTGTCTGTCGGTCTGTCTGTCGGTGTCCCACAAAATTTTTTAGAATTTTTCGGATTTAAACATAAAAAATGAGCTATGGGATCAGTATTGAAATTTTGATATTTTATCAGGAACATAGAGAAAATGGCGTCCAAAATAAAATAAATTTTGAGTATAGATTTGAAAAAAGCATTAAAAACAAGCATAGTGAATTAGCATTAAAATTTTTATTATGTCTTACTTTTATAGAAAATGGCGGTCAAAGAAAAATGGTAAAAATTTTCAACGTTTAGAATTGTATAGAGCATCAAAAAAGATATAATAGATCAGCATTATTATTTTTTATTTTTTTCAAAAAATTGGCGGAAATAGTATTATATTTGGAGTTTATTTTTGTTATACTGAATCATTTGATTTTAATTATTTAATTTTTAATTCGGATTAGAAGTTCGTATGGAAATGCTTTTGAAGCATTCTCAACTTGTTTTTTTATTGCTTAGACTTATCTATTGAACTATAGCATGTTCAATTTTAATATGACACAGTTTTACAAATGCATTGAGTATTTATTTTAAAATTAATATTTTAGCAAATGAGTAATAAAAATATTAATTAGTTAAAAAGTTAATTTCATTAAAAAATTTAATTATACATATTAAGCTATCAAATTATTGTATTATATTTTTTTTTGTGTACAATTAATTAATTAAATACATATTTAATATCATATATTGTTTGTTGAATACAATTAATTTGTAAATCAATTGCAAGTATTATTGAATGTTATTGTCATTTGAATGCAGTGTTTGATTGTTTAAAACAATTTACTAATGATTTATGTTTTGTTTTATTAATAGATTTAATTGAATTGATTGACGAGTTTTGTTCAGACAAAACAAAAATATAAAATAAAACTAAAGTTAAGATCATTGAAGACAATAATGACAGCGAAGAAGGACTCATTTGATCGTTTCGGCGATGATTTGTATCAACTATTGCTTCAATATCTGCCAATCGATGACAGATTAAGACTGGAATCGGTGTCCAAACAGTGGCAGACATTGATATTCAATACACAAACTGATCTCATATTTGATTGGAGACTATTGGAAACAATATCTTTGATTACAAAGCGTGCAAATTATCGGACAATTAAATGGTTTGAAGTGATTGTCTCGAAATGTCCGAACATTACCGCAGTTATCATAAGTGATTTGTAAGGGTTTTCATTTATTTTTTTTATTAATAATAAAAACCATTTTTAATAATTAAATATTTGTTGTATATGTCTATATCATATATAGATATATATATACCGAGAGTTCAGACAATAGTTTAACACTTCCTGGTGCTGTCAATATGATGAGCCGTTTTATCGATATATTAATCAAAAACTGTCACCGATTGCGACACATAACCATAAAATTTGAATACGACGGCCTCTGGTCGGTCATCGACAGTACGTTTGAAAGATTTTTCAGACAATTTGGCCGACAATTGTTGACATTCAAGTTTGACGGCTATAATCGTGAATACAATAAACAATTGTTTAACAAAGTGGTCGACAGTATATCCAACCTGAAGACATTGGATATCACATCCTATGATGACTTTGATTGTCAGGAAAGTAGTGTCCAATTAAATGATATATTCACTGATAATAATATGTGTAAATCGTTACCAAAATCGTTGCAATCATTTAACATAAAACTGAATGACTCGTCGATATCTTTTTTCGCTAAATTTGCCGAAAATTTCGGCAAACAATTGACATCATTGAAGATAATGATTGATCACTCGATCTTCGACTATGAGGAAAATGAATGGTCCGGTTGGTACACATGGGATATGAAACCATTATCGGCTGCTTTGTCACAAATGCTGCAATTAAAACAACTCGAGTTTTATTTCCCGTTTGATTTATACCCCGATACTATCGAGTATTTATTTTCGATAATTGGCCGCAACTGTCGACAACTTATGGCATTATACTTTGAGTCCTATATATCAACTAAAGTAAAAATTCATAGTTTGTTTACCGCAATCAACAAACATATGTCACCACAATTGAGACGATTATGGCTAAAATTTTTATACAATTATTATGAAGAAGAAGAAACCGATTTGGTTTTGACCAGCAATTTGTTTAATCGATTGACGGGATTAACACATTTGAAACTACTGGTAGATAATAGTGGATTAATAGGTGATCCGTTTTTTCACGATATACACCGCAATCTTCCGCGACTACAGTCTATACATTGTAAGGGTGTGTCCATTACTAATGAATCGATCCAAGCTATTGGACAGTTGGCAAACCTGATGGATGTCTATCTACACCTTTGGAGTCCAAACAAACTGACAACAATTGAATCAATTATTTCCAAACATTTACTGATCGGTACTAAAGTCAAACACTTTTATATTCTATGCAAAGGCTATGGTTTATATAAAAGTGAAACAAATTATGAAAAAAATTACTGCAAATACATTAAAGACAAACTATATACTAAACATTTATAGTAAACGTAAATTAATTTATTTAATAAATTGCATTTAAATTTAAACATTTGAAAATAAAAATATTTCAATCAAAACTAATTGTAACATTAAGATTCCTAATACCGGTACTAAAGTTAAACAGTTTTATATTGAATTATATAATTTATTTAAAAGATATGCTGAATATAAAAGTGGAAACTATTTGAATTAATACTAATAATAATATAATTTATTATATTAATAATGACATTCATAATGAATTTAATTAATAAAAAGTCATTTATTTAAGAAATTGAATTTAAATTTAAAACTTTAAAATTTAGATTTTAAAATAAAAATATTTCAATTATAACTAATTGTAATTGCTATTAATTATAAATTAATAAAATAATTTAATTGCATTTATTTAATAAAATTATACTGTATTAAAAAAAAATTAAAATTAAATTTCTCTAATTTTTTAATTATATATCATTAAATAAATATAAACTTAAAGATTAAGTATATTACATATAAATAAAAATATTAATTATATATTACTGACTTAATATAATGTCTTAATTATTTAATTAGTAATTAATTCATTAGTAATTTTATAGTTAATTAATTTATATCGTAACTAAAAGATTTTTGTTTTGTTTTTTTTTAATAATTAATAAGTATTTATGTAAATGATTAATAATTTTTTTATGAATTTTATTTTAGAAATTTATTTTTAAAATTATTTACTTATTTAATTATATTATAAGTATAGATGGCAACAAATATTATGTTATACATATAATCTACGGTATATTAGACATGTTAAATAAGTATAATTAAAATTAAAATAATTTAATATTTAATAATTAATTAAAAAATAAATAAAAATCGTATCTTTAATATAAATATATTGTAAATATAATAGAAGTTAATATATTATATACCCATTTGATTAATACACAAAAAAAAGTAATTATATCTAATGTGTGTTTAATATCATATGTTTGTTATAATACAGTAAAGTATAATAAAAATAATTATCAGATTATAGAATTAAATTTTAAATTGTTATTTTTTGTGAACAATTAATTAATTAAATACTTATTTAATTTCATATATTGATTGAATATATATTGTATATATTGAATATTGTTTG